CCTACCGACCAGGCTATCCCGGTGAATAACTTAATTTCATTGTATTATTTGCTCATTTTTCGTCATACCTAATTTCAAATTTCTGAGTTTTATAGCATTTAATCACTAAAACAAAGTGTAACGTTAGTTAAACACTCTTGCGATTATTTCATACAGTGAAATAAGGGCTACTTTCCTTAACCTTGATTTGTTGATACACTAGACGACACTGGCTGTGCTGTACGAAACTTTTCTTGTTTAATTATCTGTATATACTGTAAGATAAAGTACTTTTTAAAATTAGAAAAAAATATTAAATGAATGAATATTTGTTAAAAATTAGAATAAATATTTAAAATTAAATTAAATTATATTAATTGAAAATTTATGATAATTTTTAAAAGGATATTGCTATACATTTTCGTTACAAATACTTAAAACTTTTACAATTCTTTTTTTTTTCTACTTACACATTTTAATTGTACTTTTGACTCATTAATTTTTCTAAGTAATATTTCTAAAAATACTGAGTTAAATGCGATCATTTAAATGCTTTGAGCCGCTTGTGTAATGAATCTGCAATTGTAAGTAATAAAATCAAATGCATTTGAAACATGAGTGGATATATTTTTGACAACAAAAACGCTGTAGATATTCTTTAGGAAAAGATCATTCCATTTAACTATGCAATAAAAATTATAGTTATTTTTCAAATATATACTGCTTTCCATTAATTCTCTTAAAACTCTTCGATTTTGTTCAAAACAATAGTACTAATTGCAGTGATTTTGACGTAATTAATAATGATCAAAAAATGTTACTAGAAAAAAATATAATCCACTTAACGCAACTAATTAAATGATAAAATACGAACGGTAATTTATTTCGCTTTATTTTTTGAAAAGGTTATCCTTCTCGATAAATGTTTTACAAGATTTACTAAACGAAAGTAGCAGTAAAAGAAATATTATTAATTTTCTTGTAATCTTTTGTTTAAACGATAACATGACAGAATTAGTTTGTTAATTGTATTCTTTTTTTAAACAAATAGATAAAGCCTAGTAACGAATGGATAATTAATCAATATAGGAAAAAAAAATCTTCTTAAATGAATAATTTGGGAATTTGTGTAGTTTGAAATGTGGTTACTCTAAGAAAAAATTAGGATATTTTTATAACTTTTATTATTAATTGATAATATTTTAATACACGACAAAAGCATTTAACTATGCATTTAAAAAAAAACATTTAAAATAACGTTAACTTAAAAGAAAAAGAAAAATTGCTCAAACTTTTACTACTAATATGGCTACAATAAGATTTTAGCTCCATATTTTTTATTCTTCTAACATCAAAAATATTCGTTTTTAAAAAAAAAGGTAATTTAGTAACTAAGCATGACAATGTGAAGAATTCATATTCAAAAGTACCCCAATGCTTCACTGCCACTTAGCCTTTTTTCCCCTTTTACTCCAAAGAGATAAAGGATTCTTTTATAGACATCAAATTTTGCGCCAAAATAAATTGCTATTTACAATTATCTTTTTCTCTTGTCGAATTGGTTGCTTAATCAACTGAAAATAAGCGTGCATTTTGAAGTATTATATTGTGTCAGTATATTGCATTGAAGTAGTATATTGTGTCAGTATATTGTATTGAAGTAGTATATTGTGTCAGTATATTGTATTGAAGTAATATATTATAGTACACTGTAGGAAATGTTCATAAAATTTGGAGAGTTTACCGTTAAAAAATAAAAGTTAGGCATTTATATTACAATAGTATAATGGCCACCTTCATTCACACTCAGAATTCTCTAAATACAAATTAGGTTTATTTTTCCAGCTAAGTAATTTACTCATTGTTCGTATATGTTCGTAATTGCACAATATGATCTACTTAATTTTCATTCAATTTATATGTTTTAAACTCATAGTTATTTTTTTTATTACCGTCTTTGAGCAGTTGGGCTAATTTAGGGTTTACGACTACCAAAGTTTAACTAATGTAGTTTTTAACCCAATCCAGAAGACAAGGAAACTCCTGAACAATTATTAGATTAAATTTGCCTTCGTGAAGGAATTTTTTCTGTGACGGACCCGCATTTGCGCTAAATTGAGAGGAAAACCACGAAAACCTTCCCCGGTTAGCCTGACAGAAAGGGGACTCTAACCGACGAATAGTCCATGGCTGAGAATATTTTACGTCAGCATTGTGGTGTGTGAGAGTCGAATGTGGAATTCGAATCAACCAGACATGGCTGGGATAATTTGTGTAGATAAATCTGTACAGCAAGACTGTTTGTATAGTTTAAAATTGTAACTTTGCTAAGAGTATAAGAGTCTTTCCCGGCTAAAGAGCTTCGAAAAACTAAGTTAAGAGAAATTATTAGTTTTTGAGAGTTTCCGAACACATTTTACAATTACAGGACTTCCAAGTGTTCATTATTAAAATACTATGCGAACATGCCAAAAAATCAATAAAGGTATCTATTATTTAAAAGTATTATTCAAATTACCACACATTTAATAAAAGTTACAAAACTGAAAAGTTGCAGAATAAAAGGTTTTTATGCAATTCTCTAAAATGGTAAAATTACCATTCTCTAATGTGTTATGATTGTATCGTTAATATCCAATTAATTTTTAATTATTTTTGAAATCGAAAGAGGCATTTTTTTAACAGCTGAATGAAATATATAGCCTAAAATGTGATAAACAACTTATGCAAATTAATTTATTTTTATCCAACTAAACACTACAAATACGATTTGTGAAGAAAATACTTTAAACTATTAATCTGAAATCTATTCATTATGAACTTCACACAAAATTATTATCAAACGAGAAACAAAGTGAAATATAAGAATCTAAATTCCATAATTCAAACTTTTAGCATTCAATTATAGCAATCAATTATAATATACAATTTAATTTAATTAATCAGAAAATAAATTATTTCAAAAGTATATCATTATCATATGAAATTGCAAAGATTCAGCGACAGATTTTATTAGCTAATATAATGCTTAAATTATAATTCAAAAATAGTTAAGTGATAATCAGCATTAGTATGATTTTTGCATTCAAGTATATTTATTAATATTTATTCTAAATTTAAAAAAAATAAATTTATTAATCTGTTATTTAAATACTTGAGCAAAATCAATTTATATTATGTTAAATAATAATGCATTTTTCACAGTAGTCGAATGAGAATTTATTTAACATAAAAATTAGATACAAAATCATTCTATTTGATGGTAAGTCAATTGTCAATAGAAATCCACAGTCAGACAATAGAAAGGAAACGATTTAACAAACTCCTAATCTATGCTTGAACCAACTTAATTATTTTTCAAATAAATTCGTTAGTAAGTTTCGAATGAGAAATACCTTAGGAAGCTTAATTGTTAAATCAATTCCGAATTGAGAATGTAAATTAATTATTCATGCTCTCAGATGTGAGAAATTTTTTTTCAAAAATGCATATAATTATTACTCAAAACTCATTAGAGTTGAGCAAATCATTACAAAATTTCAAATTGCCATTGTTAAATAAAGATTTTCATTTTTCAAAAATGATGCAGCGAATTTAATAATTTATAAAAGACTAGTTTAAAATATTGATAATTTACAAAAGACTAGTTTAAAATATTGATATTTTCATAATATAAAACCTATACCCAGTCATAGAACAAATATTTAGAATCTTGAATAACTTTGAATTTAATGAATTGATTTTCACGCACTATATGAGTCCCTCCTTGGTAAAACGGCACACATTACATGCAGATATTAAATTTCGAGCATTAAACAACGTTTAAAAATAAGTTAATATTTATTTTTAATAAATATGCTTTTTGTCAGAAATTCCAATGACGAAATTCCTTTAAATAAAGGACAATGTCAACAGGCATGGAAACAAAAATGTCTTCTAATAAAGAATTAAACTAAAGTACAGACAAAAGCTCGTTGTGATTTGTTTCCTCTGCAATTATTTATGAGAAAAGAAACTTGTCAAATGCATTTCTTTTTGTATGTATTTTGCATGTAAAGTATTCCGTATGTATTTAGCTTAATAGTATGACATGTACTGTCCAAATTAATTTGCAATTTAAATTTTTTTAAAAATGCTATAATTTTTTTTTGAAATTGATGATCTATATCTATTTGCTAATGACGCTATATTTTTCAGTTAGTAGGAAGATTAAAATGCTCAATTCTTATGCTTCTTGAATTGTGTTAGAAAACCATTTGAAGTTACTTTTCTATAAAAAGCGAAAAATGTTTTGTAAAATTACCATACTGTGTCACATTTTGAGTTATGAAATTTCGGGTAATAAGAAAAAAAAACATCATTCTGATCACTAAAACCAAAATGCATACTATTTAAACCATCGATTTCATAATTTTTCCATTCATAGGGCTTTTAAATATTAAATCTTATTACCCCACATTTAGTAAAATACAAAACCAAAATGTAAATTTCTTCCAAAAATGGTTTTTATGATCTTTTCTAAAGTTTTATGATGAGGAAACCAAATTTTACCATATTTGCCCACATTTTATCACATTTTATAAAGCCCTATCTTTTCGTTAATTTTGCTAAAATCATTACCAAAAGCTCTTGGGTAAAAATTAGCAAGCTCTTTGATCCCATAGAGCCATAAACAGTCTTAAGCTCACAATATTGTGAACCATACTTTTTTTTTCAGTGTATACAACTGATCAAATGACATTCTTATTTATATATTAGGATCATCATCTACTGTTATTATTACTTAATGAAATGACGTACTTTAATTATGCTTTTATATGCTCATTTCTTAAATTGTATCTTAAATGTAAGTTATAGGCAATGAAATACGAGGGTTGTCCATAAAGTAAGGTTCCCAAGGAGCTAGGAACGCTGTTAGGCGGGATTTGGCGAGACTGGCATGAAGCTTAGCTCCCTTTCTCCCAGTTCCCACCCCGGAGAGATGTCTATAACATTCATTCTTGTCTTGGTAGCCGTGAAAGATGGAGCTCTCATTTGTTTCTCCCGCCAGGTGCGAATTACGCTCTGTGATTAATTTTTTGTGTGCAAAAAACGTTCCTCCGGTGGACATTCATTCCGAACTGTGTGAGGTGTACGGGGAAAAGTGTATGAATGTGCAACATGTCTGCAAATGGTGCAGAGACGAACAACGTTCTGGCCGGGCATCATTTTCGGACAAAGCGATTGCGAAAGTGGAAGCAATGCTGAAAGATCGAAGGGTAACTGTTCGGAACCTCAGCGAGATGATCCCTGATGTCAGCGAGTCCTGCATTCACAACATTTTGAGAGACCGCTTAGGATATGCCAAGGTTTGTGCAAGGTGGGTCCCGAAAATGCTGACGGATGACAACAAACGGCAACGTCCGCACACCGCCAGTGCCACAACTGTTCTCATCAACAGATTTGGATGGAATACTGTCACACACCCCCTTACAGCCCAGACTTGTCCCCCAGTGATTATTGCCTCTTCTCTGAATTAAAGAAACACTTGGGAGAGACGCATTTCACAACCGAGGAAGAAATGAAAGAAGAGGTTTCAAGCTATCTTCGCGTCGCGGCGGCAGAATTCTACGACTTAGGCATAAAGAAGATGGTACACCACATGCAAAAATGCATTGATCTAAACGCCAATTACGTCAAAAAATAGAGGGAAGTCTAAGCTTTCCAAACATATATTATTCAATGCCAATAAACATATTTTTCATTGTAAAAATTCGTTAGGAACCTTATTTTATGGACAACCCTCGTATATAGCATTTTTTCATTAAAAAAATATCTCGAAAGTAACTAAAGAGAATCCTTTACTAATATTAACATATCTAATAAGAATATCAGCTATATGTAAATTAAAGTTTCTTTTAAGAAATATGAAATTTGTTAAAACAATAGAATTCATATTATTAAATATTATTAAATACAACTAAATAACTTTTAAATAACTATTAAACGTACTAAACAAATAATTAGCATATCAAGATACATTCTGTTTTGAAACAAAATAAGAACAATGTTAAATGTTAAATTTAACATAACCACACATCTCTTAAAGATGAAGAGATAAAGAAAATTATGTATTGTTTGTTAGAACTGTGATAAATCAGTGAACGGATACCACTAGTTGATTAATCGCTGTTTTTTGAGCAGACGGGAGAGCTGCATTAATATCACCGTACTTTTGAGTGTTAATCGTGAGAGCTGTATTAAGTTCACGGTCATGGTCGCTCCTGTGCTGCCTTTAGAAGTCGAGTGAATACGCTGTACGTTCTGTGTGATCGACACTGAGTAGCAACAGCGTGAGGAGGTGGATGAAAAGGTACCCGATCATGGAATCGAGTTAGCATGTCTTATACACTAGGGAATTAAATTTGTATTTTTGTAGTGGTAGATACACTACAGTATATTTTAAAGAACGAACATATATTTAATTACTATAATTAATTTCTATATATGCACGAGCATATAATTAAGATATATAGCAGTATTGCGCTGTACAGTGGTAAACTTCGTCTTTTTTTCAAATTTATTTTTTTCTCTATATAACAAATAAATCTATCCATCATTGTATTTAAATAGACCATAATATAACAATATACATTTTTGTTCCCACTTTAATTTAGTTCTACATTCTAAATAATTATATTCTTTTTTCTTATAGCTAAAACTTGAGGTCTACATATGTGCACCTAAAATTATTAGCACTCTGGCATTAAAACTCATATTTTGTTCATCTTACTATGACTTATGGTAATGAAATAGAAATTTGGAACTGTAAAATATTTTTGCTATATTCCTTTACACAGCAGTAGTGAAGAGGTTAATGAACAGGTGATTCTTTCTCGTAATTTCATTCTTCAATAAATTTGAATACCATAGTGCAGCGTTTCTTAACCTTTCAATATTCGCGGCCCAGTTTTCAATCATAATTTTCATCGCGCCCCCCACTTACAGTAAAATGTATACAACAATAATGTATATTGAGTATTTTGAATTCTGTCTTTAAATTATTTTTAACTAACTGCCAAAACAAAATTAAAATAAAAGCCAGCAGCAATTGAGATTGTAGAAACTGTGTTTGGAGTTAAGTTTTCAAAACGATTACAGTCCATACCTCTTTCAAATGATACTGTTGCTTGTCGAATTGGTGATACTGCTGAAAATGTAGTGACAGCTTTTCTCGATGGTGCGTGACAAAATGTTTTCAATACAGTTCGATGAAGCAACAGATATTAATAAAGATGCTCATTTAATTGCCCATGTTTGATTTTGTGATAATATGTCAGTAGCAGAACTACTTTTCTGAAAATCCATAGAACTCAAAACAACAGCGCTAGCATTATTTACTATTTTAAATGATGTTATGAATGAGGCAAACATAGAATGCAAAAATTGCATCAGAATATTCACCGATGGTGCTCGTTCAATAGCCAGAAGGTTCGAAAGTATACATGCACTTGTAAAACAAAACTCGCCTCAATGCGTCTGGACACATTGCATGATCCACAAAGAAGCTTTGGCTTCGAAAGAAATGCTGGTTTAAATATTGTGTTAACTACGGTTGTAACAGTTGCAAATTATATAAAAATGAGAACCCTTTGATCGAAAATCATTTCCGCTCTTTGTAACGACATGGGTTCAGTACATTCAGAGTTACTATTTAAATGCGGGGCAAGATGTTTATCACGTGAGAAATTTTTGCAACGTGTTTATGAATTAAGAGAAATCGCCATCTTCCTAGAAGAAGATGACAGAACGGAAACCGAGAATTTTCACTATTGTTTATTTGTGATAAAATTGAGCTGCTTGATCGTCATATTCGAGAAATTAAATAACTTGAATCTTCAACTCCAAGGAGCAAATACGCATATGTTGGATACGAATGATAAAGTCAATGCTTTTTGCAGAAAATTTTAATTGTGGGGCAGAAATTTATAGCAAAAAAACTTAACAATGTTTACAAATGTGGATAATTGTACTAAAACTTATAAGGCTGAAGAAGAACATGTAAAAGTTCTTTTTGCAACCATTGAAAATCATTTAGCCATGATTACAAGGAATTTTAAAAAGTATTTTCCTGCTGACGACAAACTTATTGCAAGTTACGAGTGGGTTAGTAATCTCTTTCATAAGACTCCCGAAGGACTCTCAATTCATGAGGAAGAAAAATTCATAGACTTCACGAAGAGTGGCAAAACCAAAATACAATTTAGTATTAAATCACTATTTGAATTTTGGGCAGGGGATGATTTTTCTGCACTAAAGACAGGGGCAATTCGCGTTCTATTAACATTTTCAACATCCTACCTTTGTGAAACTGGATTTTCTGCTGTGACTTCTTTGAAGACAAAATATAGATCACGGCTAAATATAGAAACAGAACTGAGAGTGACTATTTCTAATATTTAGCCTCACCTCAAAAAACTTTGCTCTGCCAGACAGGCCCAAGGAAGTCATTAAAAATTACTAATTTTTTTAAAAAATTTAGTATGTTTTCATTAAGTAAGGTGGGTAAGCCAAAGGTGGCCAGTGTTCCTAACGTAGCCCACCCCCCAAAGTAAAATTAAATTTATTTTGAACCATAAGATGTCCCTGCTGCATTGTAAATCTTGTATCTGAGGTGCACGAGGCTGAAATGTAAGATATTTCATTGAATGGCCTCCATTGTATGAAGTGATCTAAGTTTTTGCAGTTGTCGTTCTGATTTCCGGATGAGAAGATATTGTAATTTATGTGTGTTTAAATTCTTAGAACTTTGAGTTAGGATATGTTTTCTGAAAGTTTATTTCGTTTTCTTTAGCCACATTACTTTAATTCAAATTAATCTATCAGATTAATAGTTTTAAGTCGCCAAGGTGGCCGACACCGGTGCCACCTTGGAGACACGTGGGCCACCTTCGGAAACAAAGGGAAATCTATAAAAGAGTTAATTACAAATCATTACGTAGCATATTATTTCTCAAAAAGGAATGATTGAATTGAATGCCAATTGATTTATTTCATTTTAAGCAACTGTGGAACTTTTATAATATTTTGATGTTCTCTGCACTTTAGTAGAGTTTGCGATATTTTGTTTCAAGTTTTTTGTATTGTTTGCATTTTAAAGTAATTTTTCAGGTATTTTTTTTATTTTTGTGGTGATTATGAGTGTTTTTGTGGTCGATTCTGGTATTTTCTTGTAAATTTGAGTATTTTTATACTAGTTATGGGTTAGGTTAGATAACTCTTGTATGGTTATTTAACTCTTGTTAGTTAATCCTTCGAAAAAAATTAACTCAGAAATTCTTGATTAATTCTAATGAGTTAATTCAAAAGAATTGCTAGTGACTTAAGAACTATTAATGTAAAATCAATAAACAAATTATACACTCTAAAAGGAAATATCTTTTTTATAGTCGGGAAACTTGTTCCAACCAGCAAGCCTTTTTAAAAAACGTTTGCCAGTCCAAATGCTTTTTCTGATGATAATTTGAGTAAGTGAAAAAGTGATTTCTATATATGGCTCACCTTGGAACCTGAGGGAAACCTTAGGCGCAGAAGCTACAATTTTGAAATTGTACTATAAAATAAATGAAATTTTATTTTACAATTAAAAGTATACATGGTATATATTAGAGATAGGTGTAAGATGTTACAGAAAAAAATTCAGTCGCACAGACTTAATCAGAAAATTAGGAAAAATCCTCAAAGCAAAGCCACCCTTGGCTCCCACCTTAAGTTTTGATTTAATAAGTTGTTTCACTTTAGTAAGTTATTAAATATGTCGAAATGTATTTTGCTTTCTATGTGTATGTGCGATTTCCCTTCATCCAGTTAATCAGTTTTTTTAAATAATATTTTCTCTTGAATATTCTCGCGCCACCCCTCTAGTATGCTCGCGCCCCCCCAGGGGGGCGCGCCCCACAGGTTGAGAATCGCTGCCATAGTGGATATCGGTTGCTTGATACGGAAAAGCTTGAAGATAAAAGTTTGGAAAAAGCAGTAAGTAACTTTTCGAGGGTTAACAGTGATATTGTTTTACCTCTGTGTGGCAAGGAACAAATATATTAAATAATGTTTAGGATCAGTAAATAGAATTTAGTTTCAAATTAAAAAAAACACTTTGGCTGTTCTATTATATTTGAAATAACATTTAACATTTTTTTCTTTATTTTCGTTGAAAAACATTCCATGTGTCACACATTACGTGAAACTTTTTTTCATTTTATTTATTTTTTTCTAAAAATAATTATTAAATAAATAGGAGCAATAAAGTTAAAATGTTTATTTGTAAATAATAATGTTTATATGGAAAATTATTTCAATCGTTACCATCAAACATGCAAATCCTTTTTGAATTTTGAACTTTATCTATTTTCTGTAACATTTATGCGAACTAATTTTATAACTACTTTTCCACTAGCTTTCATTTTTTTATAATCAGTTCAGATTAGCGTTCTCGTTAATTTAATTTTAAAAAAAAGATTAGATGGAAAAATAAATTCTG